AAAAAAAAAAAAAACAACTCAAAAAAACAAAAACAAACAAACAAAAATCTGGTAAGGCTCTGCTAAATCAGATAAATGGGATAGATTTCACTTATGTGGCCTCTAGTGAAACCTGCAGGGAGGGGAGCCACACTGCCGATCATAGCATTCTTACTGGATTTGAGGGTGGGATGCTGATTTGGGGGCTACGGCAGGGAAGGGGACCCTAGCCAGAGCCTAGACATTCTGTGCTTCCTGACCCTCCTTCCCTGTTCCCATTCTGATGGACAATTTGGAGAGAGACAGAAGGAGACAGAGGGTTAAGGCTGTCGCGGCCTCCTCTGGCCCAGCCCCTCAGCCAGTCCTCAGGGACCCCCTCACATGGCTGTGCGTCCTCGCCTGTGGACACCCACAGTGATGCTCTGCCATAGGGAGGTATTCATGGTCTGGGAGTGTGAGTTCTGATTCCTTCTCTCCTCTCTACATAATTCAGTCTAATAACTGGAGGGAGTTCCCTTTTGCTCGCTGGAGTCACAGCCCTGCTGGGTCCTGGCTGCCCCGGGGCAGTAACAGAGAAGGGGGCTCCCAAAAGGGCTGGTTGGACCCAATGATCATTGATCATCGGGAGCTCAAACGCTACAGCAGCAACATGATGACAGCTAGTGTCCAGGCTACCACCTCACATTGTGGAAACCTTTTCCCCCGAGGACAGGAATTTTGAAAGGAAGTCGGGTTTCAGGTCTGAAAGCCAAGGTGAAGAACCAAGAAGCTTTATTCTCACCCAGCAGGCAAGCAAGGAAGCAGTCAAGCGTTCCCTGAGAGAGGGGAAGAGGAAGAAGCATTCACCAGTGCTAAAGGAAGCAGGTACTGCAGAGGAGTCAGGACCAGCAGAGCAGTGGGGCGGCCCCAAGGCCCCCAGAAGGCCTCGGCCTGTGGCCCTAGGAAGATGCAGGTGGGGGCCACCTCAGAGAGTGGCTTTCTGCTCCATGCATCCAAAAACAGCCTTTCCTGATGCCTGCCAGTGGGCAGCATCCCCTCCCCTGCCATGGCAGCTGCTCGCCCATCTCCACTGCCCCTTGAGCTCTGTGATCACAGCTCTCCTGTCCTTCGTGTGACTGTAGTAACTTGCCTAAAGGTCTGCCTTGCCCATCTCTGCTGCCGATCTCATGTTCTGGTCATTTCTGCATCCCCAGACCTGTGCAAAGGACCTTGCAGTGAATGCCATGAATGAATAAATAAATGACCCCGAAGCAAGGAGGTCTCCCCTCTTCTTGCTGCTTCTGGAAGTCTGAAGCCCAGGGCTGGAGCTCTTCCCCCCATTTCCATTCCCTCCTGATAGCAGCTGCCCCATCCTGTTCGAGCCACTGACTTCCTCACCTACTGGGGCCTCCCCGCTGGGCCCAGGCTTCCATCCCTCCCAGCCCAGGGCCCACTTGCCAGCCAGCAGCTGACCTAGTGATTTCCCTCTTTAAAAGCCTCCAATGGCTCTGTCACTCCCAGAGTCAGTTCCAGACTGCTCACTCTGCGCCACAAGGCCCTGGGTGGCCTGCCCTGTCCACTCTCAGACACCACCCCCTACCTATGTCCCTGCCCTCTCTCCCCTCCAGCCACCCTGGCCCTGCCTGACCCTCCGATGTGCCTTGCCTGTCCCTGCCACCGGGCCTTTACAGTGGCCGCTCCAGGCAGCATTCCTCCTGTGGCTGTGTGCTGAACGCCTCCCTGGCCTCCACTTCAAAGCTCACTATCTACCTCTTCAGAGAGGCCTTTCTGGAGCTCCATCTGTCCTTGTCCCCACTTGCCCCAGACATGCACTGTCCAGTCTGGGAGCTGCATTTGGCTGGTGAGCCCTTGAAACGGAGCCAGTCCAAATTGAGACCTGCTGCACATGTACCATACACACAGGATTTCAAAGACTTCATGCAAAAAACCTGCAAAAATATTGACATCCTTTATACTGATTACATGTTGAAGTGATAATATTTTGCATATATTTGGGTTAAACAAAATTAAAATTAATTCCACCTGTTCCCTTGGACTGTTAAATGGCTATTAGAAAATTTAATCTGAAAACTTCACACGTGGCTCACGCTGTATTTCTATTTGACACCATGGCTCTAGCCCCTCACATTTCCTATCATGGGTGTAATTATCTTTTTTGCTGATTTATTGGTTTTCATCTGTCTCCCTGGCTGGAATGCCAGCCCCCCTTAATGCCCCTGAGCAGGCTCCTCAGCTGTCTCCTCCACTGCTGTGCGTCCCCTTGCCCCTAACAGAACCTGGCATCCTGGGTGCTGACTTGATGAATGAACGATGCAAATACCAGGTTTCATTACTCAAAGCCCACCTGCACCCCCTCCAAGGGAGGGTCCCAGGCCTTCCAGAACAGGCAGAGTAGTGGCAACGCGGCATGCAAAAGACGCAAGCCTGCAGCGCAGCCCCCAGCGGTGACCGCTCCCACTCCAGCACAGAAGCAGGACTGCTGCTGGAGGTGGGCTCCAGGCTGCGCTTGGCCAGAGGGTCCGATCTGAGGCCCCCTTCCCCCAGCAGGCAAGCGAATAGCTGTCAGCCCGGGCCACACTCTGGCCAGCACCTACTTTGCTCCGGATTTGGCAGATGACAGGGACCAGCAGCAGGACGCAGCCCAGCGCCAGGAGGACGTACTGGGCATAGTGCATCACCTTGGGCATCAACACCAGCTGGGTGTAGAATGTGTGAAGCGTCTCCCCCTCCATGGCCCCGCTCTGAGGAGGCAGAATGACAAACACATGAGCTGGAGCCACAGGCTGTGGGCTACAGCGCAGATGCCACCCAACACCCTCCTCTGTGCCCGCCTCAGCCTTTCCCCATCTCAAGCTCCCTAGCTAAAGCATGTATCGGAGCCTGCCAGGGACCGCCTCCCTCCAGGACACAAGGTGAGACTACAATTCCCAGAATCCCTTGCAGTTGGGCAGGGCCATTTGATCGTGTTCTGACCAATGGGAGGTGGGCCTGGCCTCACGTGACTCCCCATCGCTTTGCCTGCCACTTAAAGGAGGATCTACAGGAGGGCGGGGCCCCCGGGGACCTGGAACCCTAAATTACTGGAGGGAGCAGAGCTCTGCTTCCCCATCAACCCACTTCAGACTGGGCTGTGAGCAGGAAGTGAACTTGACATTCGGAGGCTTGTTTGTCCTGGCCATTAGCTAGCCCTGATTTAAAACGAGGTAGGCAAGAAATAATAAATAAAATTTAAAAAAAGATAAAATAAAAAAATAAAATAAAATAGGCCAGAATGAATTCTAAAAAGATGCGAGAGAAGTAAGTTTAAGTAAAAAGCTGACACCTTGGAAACCAACTTCCCCACTTTCAGAAGAGGTTATATGCCTCAACAAAATCATTTTACACCCAGGGCCAGGGACTTGACCACTTCATGCAGCTTCTGTCTTCCCCATCTCAAGGGATCCCTTTCAGCTTGGTGGGATAACTGACATAGGGTGCTTGGACAGTTTGAAATTTCTGATACACTGGTCCATGTCACAGTCCGGTTACCCTGGCCCAGCCCTCTCCCTTTCTACAAGCCGCTCCCCACCCCCTGCCTCAAATGCCCACATTGGCTCTTAACAAAAGCCCCTGACACTGTGCCCAACGCACCCTTACCTCTGCAAACCAAAGCAGCGGCAGGACCACCGGCTCAATCTTCCCAGTTTGTCTGGAAATAAGCAAGGCATAGCTGTGTGAAACAAAGTCTTACACCCAAACCTTGATATAATTCTGCTTGAATACAACATCTAAACGGGTTTAGTATAATTTTGCACACACTAAACCCTCACCACCAAATATAAACAATGAGCTGAAACACTTTAGGAGCCATGTGACAAAACTGTCCCCAGGCTGAAGGTCTCAGTCTACAGCCCTCAATACTACTTGTAAATAAGACTTTAATTCTTTTTATTTTTTATTTTATTATACTTTATGTTCTAGGGTACATGTGCACAATGTGCAGGTTTGTTACATATGTATACATGTGCTATGTTGGTGTGCTGCCCATCTTTAATTCTTTAAAAGGCATTTTTTTGGTTGTTTTTTGTTTTGTTTTCTTTTCTTTAGTTGACAAGATGAGATGTTTTCCCAAAGGGCTGTTTGTCATCACACAGCTTTGAACCTGTGATCATAAGTTCTGGGGCCAGGAGGGACTTGATTCTGCAGTCTCAGTCATCCCTCCTAATCCATGGTTTTGATTTCTGCCATTTCTTACCCTCAGTACAGTACAATAAGATATTTTGAGAGAGAGACCACATTCACATAACTTTTATTATAGTATTTGTTATAATTACTCTACTCTTAGTTATTGTTAAGTGCGGCTATACCTAATTTATAAATTAACTTTATCATAGATGTGTGTGTATAGGAAGAAGCAGAGTATATGCTATACAGGGTTCAGTACTATCCCCAGCTTCAGGCATCCACTGGGGGTCTTGGAATATACCCCCGGGGATGAGGGGGCCACGGTACTTGACTGGTGCAGGCTTAGGGAACCAGTGTTTTGATGTGCTGCTAGAAGGAATCTCCCCTGGCAAAGAGCTTGATAATTTGACAATAATCTTTTTATATTAAAAACTCACATCTCCTGCAGGGCAAAGCCCACCAGTGACCCAGCCAAAATCCATTGGTTCCTTTTAGAAACAGAACCCAAATTTTACTCAGGATGGCAATGCACCCAGTGAAACACTCCACCTCAGCCTCTCTTGTGGCAGGTGAGGCTCTGTAACCAAGTTCTGGTTAATGAGATGTTTGCAGAAGCGTTATGTGGGATGGCCGGGAAGGCTGCTTAAAAAGAAGCTTTCACAGCTGGGACGTGAACCTTTTTTCCCTCCTCCCTTTCAGATGCCTGGAACGCAGATGCAAGGGCTGGAACTCTGCAGCCAGTGGGACCAGAGGTGACCTTGAGGATGGAAGCCATGTGTTGGGAAAATGGAACAGAAAGATGAGTGGAACTTGAACCATGAATGTCTCTTGCCATACTCTGACTGTCTGCCTCCAGACATCCTCTAAAAGAAGATTTTTTAAATAACAATATACCTTTGTCCCATTTGGGCAACAACTGTTGAGTTTTCTGATCTATACTGCCAAACCTAATTCCACCAATATACCTCACGACCCAGCAATTACACTCTTCAGAAACTGCCCTAGAGATGCTCACACATGCACACAGAGGCACAAAGATGTTCAGTGTTGCTTGGACTAGCAAAGACAAACAAACAGACAAATGACAACCTGTATCTTCTCTATGGTGACATATATATGAATGTAAAGAAGTAGGAAAAGGCCTGGAAGGAAGCACAGCAAATTAATGATGGTGGGTACGGCTGGGGATGGCGGGGAGTCACAGGAAACTCTCTTTATTCTTCCCCTCAAGAAGATATGTTCATATTACCTGTGACATTAAAACTTACACGCCAAGTTAAAAAGATAATAAAATCCGAAGGGAGAATAAAAGTTAACTCGATGCTGGAGAAACGTGACAGGCATGACCTCGTCCAGGCTATCAAGGTCAACATCAACAGTGATACAGTATGTTGACGGAATGTACCCTAGATGCTCTGAAACTGGAACTTTCTCTCTGTGGTCTTCCTCCTCCCAAAACCCATCACCCCAGTCTAATCATGAGAAAAGCACCAGACCAATCCCAGGAGAGGGGCATCCTACAAAATACCTGACCAGTGCTTCTCAAAAGTGTCACTGTCATCAAAACGAAGGAGAAATGAGAGACTGTCACAGCCAAGAGCTGCCTAAGGAGACCAGAAGACCAATGCGACACCTGGGATATGGTGACCTGCCACGACAAAGGGGGACCATGCAGATGTGACTACATCAAGGCTCTGAGATGGGGAGAGTGTCCTGGAATATCTAGGCGGGTCCATGCAGATATGGGTACATCAAGGTTCTGAGATGGGGAGACTGTCCTGATATCTAGGTAGGTCCCAGGGAATCACAAAAGTCCTTAAAGAGAAAAGTAGGAAGTCCTCGCCAGAGCAATCAGGCAAGAGAAAGAAAAAAGAAAAAACAAAAACAAATTGTAAAACACCTAAAAAAAGAAAAAAAATTTGTTTTTTTTTTTTTTTGAGAAGGAGTCTGGCTCTGTCACCCAGGCTGGAGTACAGTGGTGTGATCTCGGCTCACTGCAAAGCTCCACCTCCCGGGTTCATGCCATTCTCCTGCCTCCGCCTCCTGAGTAGCTGCGACTACAGGTGCCCGCCACCATGTCCGGCTAATTTTTTTGTATTTTTAGTAGAGACGGGGTTTCACCGTGTTAGCCAGGATGGTCTCGATCTCCTGACCTTGTGAT